TGTAACACTTAGTATTCACTGCTGGTCTTTGTCTTTTCATGGGATTTCTTGACAATAAGAAAAATGTAAAACACTGCCATCTTTTATCCTTTAACCAGAAGGTCCAAACTTTGACCTGTTTGATGAGTCAAAGTGTCCCGGAGAAAGACAGTGAAACTTATACAAGAGTCTCTGTTGGTGGTTGAAATGGTGCTCAGGTCCTCCTGTGGAGGTGATTTTCCTCATGATGAATCAGTTGCATCCATTCAAAATAAGTTCAGTTTGTTTTAGCCTGTTTTTAGATGAGAGGTTTTAGAGGTTTACAGGCCAATATACATGTCTTAAATATCCACAAGAACATTTTTAATGTCAAGGTTTTAAAAAAATATGTCCTCCAAGACAGAAAGCTGAGGATGTTACTGAAGGTTTTATTCTGTAGTAAATACTGTCAGACTTTGGCAGAAACTCAAACAGAGGTTGGGTTACAGTGTTGTCCCTTTAGTTTTTTATATTTTATGAAATGTGAAGGAATCATAGAGAAATAGTTGTATTCTAATATAGAAAGTAGGAAACTCTGTCCTTTATTGGGTTTACTTAAACATCCACTTTCTTCCAGTTGTAAGTTAAAACTTTTGTCATGTTAAGAAGCGTTAACCACAGTCACTTTTTTAACAGGGATATGTTTTATTAAATGGTGACTATGTAGTTTTGACTGTGATTTCTCCAGGATAACAGAGAATAAAAGGGAATAACTGTAGGTAATTGTTTCAGATAATAATATGAAAGAGATATGAGGCAATAATATTAGTTAATTAATTATGTTGAGAAGAGCTGAAACAATAATTTATTTTGAGTCATTTAACAAGCTAAAATGTCAAATATTGCTAATTCTAGCTTTATTAATTTGAGAATTTGACGCTTTTCTCTATTATATAAATTATCTTTTAAAATTGGATTGATGGTTGGACAAAAGAAAGAATGTTTTCTAATCTTTTACTTAATAAATCAAAATATATACACTGTGGCTGAAAACTTTATTAATTCTAAAGATCTCAGATATAATCAGGTTAAAGCAGTTGCTCGTGTTTGGGTCACAGTGTACAACCCACTGTTTCCACTACTGCTCTCCTCTGTCAGCTCTCCTGCCTCCCCGTTTGCCTTCATGCCTCCTCTCTACACGTTCTGCTGTAGGTGGCCACGGTGTCTGAGCGCTCCAGGATCATGGAGCTGGAGAGGGAGGTGGCGGACCTCCAGCTCAGGCTCCGGGCGTCCCAGCAGAAGGAGGATGCTGTGTCTCTGTCCCAGCAACAGATCAGCAGCCTCAAGGCCCAGGCGCAGTCTCAGGAGAAAAAGGTTTGTGGAAAGCGTCGGAGAATTCCCAGCGCTGGTGTTTTGTTCAGTGAAGCCTGGGCAGCAGTTACATGATTCTCTCTGCTTGTAAAATGGATTATTCATCATTATTATTATCATATAATTTATGGCATGATGTAAAACTTTGAGAATTAGTGTAAATTCTATTTACAACCCTCCATTTATCCCCTAATGTAAATAGGCATACGTCCTTTTTGTGTGTGGTTTGTTAAAGCTACTATGATTGTATGTAATTTATGGCTGCGCTCAGACGTACATGGGTGTTCTGTATGTTCTGTACTGTGTGTCCCCAACAGATCAGTGAGCTGAGTGTGGACTTGGAGAGCAAACAGAAAGAGCTTCAGTCCGTGCAGCAAGATAAGAGCTCTCTGGAAGAGCAGCTAACCGGCCTGGTAAGAAAGTGGAAAAACTCATAATACATAATAATCACAGACACAGAGAGAGAAGAGATACAGTTATGGGACGTTCAAAGAGAGGACGATGTATCGTTGTCTTATATTTATGAAGTGCCCGGTCACACACAATCTTACTGTGTAATCATTGGAAAGGTCTCATTTTCTAATTCTAACATATTAACTAAAAAGACCCAAAATTATTTCCTTCATTCATACCGTCTTGTTGATGGATTTATTTGCTGTTTCTCTTCCAGTTGTCCTTCTTATAGTCTCAAGATATGTGTCTATAATAGCTTTTTTACTTGCTACTAACACACTACACACACACACTGTCTTCAGAGAAACTAGTAGAGTACTAAACAACTACTAAGGGACCTTATATCCTAGTATTTGTTGTTCCAGTTCCCCGAAGCACAGTCTGTTTATTTCCAAAAAAACTTGTGATTTTCAAAATTCATTGTCATTTTTCTGTCAGTGGGTGTTTGATTTCACAGAAGTAACCATCGACAACTGTTGCTTGCATATTTTCTCCGAGCTGGTTAGCTGATGAAGCTAACATTAGCTCCATGAGTTGGTTAAAAACGCTGTCAGCAGCTGACATTTTAATGTTTACAGCATCTTGTAAAAGGGGATCTTTAAATATGCACTTTTACACAACTGCATGTGAAAAGAAAATCTCTCCACATCTACCAGCAGTGTGCAGCTGAATCAGGTGCTTTTTTTAGAAAAAGGGCAACAACTTCGGAATAAAGAAAGGACAAAAGCAAGCTGATTAATGCAAGTGTGTCTTCGTCAGAGTCAAAAGAAAGGCTGCATGTCTCATCCTCACCAGTTGATCATTAAATTAGGAGACATGGACATAAAATGATATAATAAATGTTCTTGTATTTAAGAAACTTAAGAAACAAATAGTTGATAAATGTTCTGTTGATCAACAAATCAATGAATCCACTAATTGTTTCATCTCTGCAAGTGCAACAGAAATGTTATTAGGTCTGACTGAGTAATAATGCCATCATAACTTTTAAAGAAAAGTGACTCGCGGGGTTTCTTTGTGTAAAATTGACAGCACATTTCTGTAATAAAGTACATGTCTGTGAGGGTCCGATCTGCAGTTTTAGATATTGTTTCACCGTGACGTGTTTTGCTCGTGGGCATCGTGAAAGTGGCCTCATTAAGAGAAGCATTTCATCCACAAACCTCGCATGTTTTCTGGATCCAGTCATTCTTCTCTGGTTAGCTCAAGGTACAAGAATGTTGCTATGTAAGTGATTAGCTCGTAGTCAAGCTGATGTTTCTGCGTTTCAGAGACAAAAGCTCGAGATAGCGGAGGAGGAGAACACGAGGACGGCAAAGACCATGCAAGGTAAACATATCAGATGTATCTCAACCGTTTATTTTATCTCTGTGTCAAGTTGATTGTTACAGCTGATAATCTGTTTTCAGAATTGGAGCAGAGTGTGGAGCAGTCAAAGAAAGACAACCGGACCCTGAAAGAGGAGAGTCAGTGCAGAGAGAAAGAGCTGATACAGGTAAGATCACACACGTAGTCCGTGGTTGAAGATAACCTTTTAGTCCACTACATTTATCTGACTGACTGATAAAGTTACTTTACACACTGGGGGAGTTTCGGGCAATCAAGTTGCACGTCACTATGTTTTTTAAAATATTTGTGTCACGAGTACTTTCACACAGAGCGTGAATATTTTATAGCGAGAAAGCGACGTAATCACAACTCATGGCGGACCTGTTGATTTCACCCTGTATTTTATGACAAAGGACATTAAAATTATAAAGACTTTACTATTTACCGACAGGTAACTGAAGCCGTTATATCTGTTAACACTCTCTTTGAAGCTCACAATAACGAATTTGAAGCTGCTGCTCTGTCGCTGCCTTGATTACATTTGTTGGTGTGAGTTTGGTGTTTTAACGTATTGTTCAGGGTTCCCACACATCCTGGAAAACCTGGAAAAACCTTTTAACTTTAGAGACTATTTTTCCTCGTCATGGAAACACCTGGAATTTGACTAAAATTCCCCAAAAACAATTTATGTTATCACCTACATAGGGTGTGTATTTTGTTTGAAACTGTTGGTAGGAAAAGCTGTTCACACCAGACGCGTCTTTTCAGCACCCAGTCTATTATTTATACGTTCATATCTACATGCATGCAGCCTATTGTTCATTGTACAATAACAAACATTTCGGCTGTGGTGAGAACAGCCAAGCGCATCACAAAAGTGAGTTTGTGTGGTGTGTCTGATAAACCCTGAGCACCTACCTGTAATGAACCCTGATTAATACATCTTAACGGATCGGATCAGAACCCTGGGACAGGCAGCTGAGATGAACCCGCTGAATATGACCTCTCTATCTGTGAGCCGTTCGGTGCTGCACTGTGACCCCTGAGACCCTGGGGGCCCTGCAAGCTGCTGTGATTGTGTGTAGATGTTACTATACTGTGTGCTGATAAATGTTCTCACCCACAGATTGGGAAGGAAAGGGGGAGAGGTATGAAGGTGTTGGTGCAAGTGAAACACTAAGGCAGAAAGAAACATTTTTAATTAAAAACATATAAGCCTATAAAATAACACATTGTTAAAGATGAAACCAGTGGATTCTGACATTTCTGGCTTTGGACTTTCCACCTGGAGCAGCTCCAACAGTAAAATGCTGCTCTAACATTGAGCATCAGTATCAATCTAATAATGATAACAACATGACAGGAGACATTTCACTGCAGAATGAGTCCTTCTACTTTTGATATTTAGGTACATTTTTACTTGAACCTGCAATAACTCATTTTGTTCGGCCATTTGAGGTATTTCCTGAGGGAAATATGTGGCTCTTTGGCTGATAAACGCTCCACTATGTTCACCAACTGTGTGTGTCTGCTGTTTGCTGCTGAGCAGGTATTGTACAGTGAGTTTTTAGAGCTATGAGAGTAGTGAGAGTGAACCACAACAGTTAAGTTGTGGCCAAACTAATAAACAATGATATGAACCTCTTTGTAAAGCTCCATACAGCCGAGGGGAGCTGCAGATTCAGCTGATTTTTCTCTGTAGGTTTATCACTACGAGTGGCAGCTTTCATATTGTTGTTGTTATTATGTAAAAATAGATTAGAGCTGCTTTAGGTACAGACATTTACTTAATATACTATTTACACATTGTTGCATTTGTACTTAAACATAAATAAGAGAATCTGAGTGCTTCTTTCACCCCTGCATGCTGCCAGTGTAGAGTGTGTAGTCGAGTAATCCGCTGGTGTAACAACACAATGGATGATGTTTGTGCAGCACACTTAAAAACATCCTAACCTCTTGTAAACCGCCTTCGTATTGTCGTGCTTCCAGAAGAGCCTGAGAGCCGATGTTCCTGCAGCCACTGAACAGAGCTCACAGCTAACAGTCCGGATCGCGTTTGTAGACGATGAATCAGCGGACTGGCATTTACTGATTCTCACCAAGATAGCTCAGTCTGCTCCTGGCTGTCAGATTTCAACAAATTATTTGTGGTCTTCCTGGCTGGGTGCCGGTGGGGAAGTGCTAAAAAAAAATGCCACAAAGTAAAAGTTTTGGGGCTTTCAAGTTGCCTTTCCTTTAATAATCCTTCCTTTAAATAATTCCCCTCTTTCCTGTGTGCTTTCATTCAGGCTTAATGACGCTCTCCCACTCTAGAGCTGACTGTGGCCTCAGGCTAATTTGATGTTGTTAAAACATTACTAACACGCACATGCACACATTACTCTCATTCCCTCTTGGGTTTGATAAGTCAACGCACCGGTCTCCTTTTTTTATTCAAGCTTTTCGGGTTTTGGCGATGATTTGCTGAAAAAAAGAGTTTGTAGAAACCTCCATTAAAGGTCCAGTATGTAATATTTAGAAAAGGTTTCCTGTACCTTTCATACTTACTCCTATGTGCCTCATTTGTGTACCTTTTAGATAAATTCACTGATGTGTTTCAAGCTACAGGAAGACCCATTTAGTAATTACGTGCTTCTAGTTGTCAGTGTTTTTGCACACGTCTCAGCAGCAGGTGCATAAACGGAGAGGGAAACAACATAAAGTGGAATTACAGTTTGCAGTTCAAAGAGAGAATTTTTGTTCTCTTTACCCAAAGTCAGAGCTTTCATACTTACTGCTCTCGCTTCACGGAGCTCATTACAAATGGATTTAAAGGTGAAGCAGCTGAACAAGCTTGAGGCTGACTCAGTGAAGAGCCGTCTTTCCTTTTTTAGACAAGGTTTTTATTGACCTCTGATCTCTCCGGTCTGTTAATGGAATGCTGATTCGACTTGAGCTTTAACTTAAAACTGATTTTAGATGTTTTTATACATTATTATGCAAAGGAGAATCTCAGTTGAACTGATTGAATTGTCACGGTTAGAGGAAAGCTGTAGTAAGTTTGGAAAGTGGAGTGTCCCATAAACGCTAATCATCTAACCGTTTGTGAGCAAGTGCTGTCCTGGAGAATGATTTGTTAAAAAGAGTGGGAACCCTGAAGCGTGTTATGTAATAAATCATCTTTGTGCCCTGTCGAGCTAAATATTATCAATATGTTTTCCAGGCTGTTGAAAAGTCAGAGAGGACGGCGCTGTCGCTTGAACAGCTGACCAATGAGAAGAAGACACTGGAGACACAGGTGAGCAAAAGGCCCGAATAGATAACATATGAGGTAACATTCAGCTACAGCAGAAGACTGTAAATACACACTAAAGTCACCATGTTGTCATTTATTTTATAAACTGTGTTTTATTTTTTGGTCTTCTTTGGTTCTCTTAACTTAACTCACGACTGATCAGCTGTTCGGTTGTCTCATCATCGCTCTATAATACATCCAAGATAACTCCACACAGATCGCATGTAACTTTCCTCACATTAATACATGAAACTAACAGAAATCTCATATTTCCGACCTGTTTTGTGTGTTGTTTTTCACTGTTTGAGGCTCGACTGGCGCTCTTTTTAATTGTGTAATCTTGTTGCGCCCTCGTCTGTTTTCTTTTTCTTTTGCTGAAATTCAACTAATTGATCAATCATTGCAGCTCTCCTTGTATTATAAGTATGATAAATGTAAGATCAGACACTTCCTCTAACTTCATTCTGACATAACCCTGTTTGGTTACTTAGGTTAGATTTATACTCTGTGTTTCACTGGTAAATTTAAAAGAGAAAACGTTTTTAGAATAAGAACTGATCGAGTTTCTGGGGTGTAAACTTCCTCAAATCCAGTAAAGAGCAGGACAGAGCCGCTAACGTTACTGTAAACTCTGATATAGTATCACAGAGGACCACACAGCAGGGAAACTGGCTCATGAAATTCACTAGTTTGGTTGTTTGCAGCTTAAAAGCAGACAAACACTGTCAAAACAATTCCTTTTGCTCCTGTATTTTTGGTTGTGGCAATGCTTAAAGGCCGTGTATCTCTCTTACTTACAGCCCCATGCACACACAGTCCTGTGGAAAGGATTCACACGTGCACATACATAAGTTTAGCATTGGTAGCCTGCAGGGTTTTTATTACGTATTCACATCAGGATTCCCACACTGACCGCATGAGACTGTGCAAGCCCCCCACTCATCGCATTTAATCAGCCACGCATGAAACACTGTGGACCGTCTCTCTCTCTTTAATTCTCTCTTGCTGTCTCTCAGTGTCTCACCACCGTCTGTAACTTGATATTTTTATCATCTCGTACTCGATCCATGCCACTCCTCCTCCAACTGCGGTCCACCTGCAGCCGTTCTTTCAGTCTGCGGCTCTCTGGTGCCCTCTTGCTCGCCTACATTCATCTCCACTCTGTGAGATCGCTGTGACTCCCGACGGCCTGTGAGCTCCAGATGGTCGGTTTTAACAGAGAGAGGAATGGATAGCGGATTAAAGCGGGAGATAGAGACCGAATGTAAACAGGCTTTCTGTTTGGTCGTGTTTATTTGAATCATCCCAGGGTAGAAACCTCACAGCACTCTACCTGCTACTCTGGCTGATTTAAGGTGGTGACTTAAGGAGGAATTTGTATAGTTTATTTTTTGAAAAATCTGTTTTGAGAGTTTATTTTGAAATAAAAATAAATATTCAGTATTTATGGGGAGTAGTATATTAACACTTAATAAATGTTTATAAGACTATAATGTAGTTGTGAACACATTT